GCGTTGGGGCCTCCATTGCTGTGGGGGTCTCTGGGGTGGCTTTTAGGGTCAGAACGCAAGGAATTTCAAGTTCTTGCAGTGTGTTTTCTTGATCAGATACAACTTGTGGTGGAGCCTGAACTTCTACTGGTTCTGGCTCTGGGGCTGGTTCACTGGATTTACTGAAGATGCTTACAATCAGCATGTTTAGCCAGTCTGGGTCAGACAGTTTTGCAATTAAAGGCAGCAGAACATTGCACGTTATAAGTTCGCCCACCACAAATCGACCTGTTCTGGTTTCTAAATGTGGAGGAGGTACAAGAACATGGAGAAGCAGATCTACAATGGCCCGTACGTAATTCACCTCGACAGCAGAGCTCTGAAGAGCGGGATGAGGAGGGCAGAATTTGCTGTACACCTCCCAGAGATCTCCATCTTTGTCCACCACTTGATGTTTAATGGCTTCCTTGGCACTCAAATAACACTGAAGGTGGCATCCAGATAGGTCTAAAGCCCTCTGGGATAAAGCTTTCCTGTCAACTCTTGCCGCTCGACCCTTCAGCTCCATCGCAATGGAGATCATGGCATTGTGCACCTCATCCTCAAACTCCTTTTCTCTGGAAATGGTGCTGTACCACGAGGTGACAAAGTCACGTATGATCTTGGCAACTGTCTTCTGGATCTCATCTTCCAGTTGTTGCTCGCTCTCGGCACTATGTGGGATCTCGTCCAGCCTAGCAAAGCGCTCCAGATGAACAACGCTGTCTGAGTCCAGGACAGCCTGGGAACCAAACCAACCACCTAAGACCACTAAGAGGCTTGTGAAGACACAGAGGAGCCAAACGTTGACCAGCAGGTGGAACAAGATTATCCAGGCCAGCAACGCCCCAAAACCAAGCAGCCTCCTCTGGACCAAAAACTCAGACAAGCCCCAGGGGCTCACGTTGAGATGCTCAGGCGGATACATTGTAGAGGTTTACATCCTCCTGTGAAGGGAAAATGGAGAGACAGAGCAACCAAATAACTGTGGTTCACAATGACTTCAATCGTATGGACAAAAACACAGGATTGGTCCTGTGAGACCAACCAGGATTTTCCACAGAAGAAAGCAAGTTATTTGGTTTTGGTAAAACATGAGGGATGACCACTGATCTATAATATATATATATATATATATATATATATATCAGTGGGGATAACGGATTGTTCATTTTTGGGTGAACTGTCTCTGAAATAGATGGACTAGTGTTTGATCATTGTTTCTATACTGCAATACAATTTGCGGTAACTTGACAGTAGCCACCACTGTCATTAAAATGAGAAATTAAACAATTCCATAAATGTTGAATTAACATGGTTTTACAGAAGTAACAATGAACCACGCCTTTAGAGGAAACTATGGTTAACATGGCGATTGTTTCTAAGGGGGTTCTTATGTGTGCAGATATCGATTTGATATCAAATTTACTTGAATACTGTAAATATACATTATTAAAACACACAAAAGATCAAGCTTAACAGAAAAGACTAGTTTTACTAATCTGGTTGGTTATCATGACTTCATTTGTATATAACGACGTTGCTGTATGTTTTGATGGGTGTCAAGCTGGCGTTTCGTAATGGCTAAAAATATATAACACCGTGAAAGATTAATGCATTTAAATGAACTTACCTTAACAGCACATGTAATCAAATGTAAGGTGCAAATTTGAAGCATAACCAATTGATGTTTAAATGCCAGACAAACGGCCTTGCAGTGTTTTGACAGCTTCTTCCTCGCCATCTCCGCCTCAGATGATGAACAGCATCCAGCGTTTTGTCGCCCTCTAGAGGTCATACAGATCCCTGCAGCGCCCTACTGCACAACACAGCATGACAGCTTCAGACAACGTTTACTTTCACTGAATTATTTCCACACAAAGTGAAAAGGAGACGGTCATTCTGGCTCCTTTTGAGTTCCACAAGACATGAGGGTGATGTATATAATTGATTATGTTTTTTGTTTTGAAAAATTTGTTTTTTTGCTCACCAAGGCTGCATTTATTTGATTAAAAAAATAGTAAAACTAGTAAAATTTTGAAATATTATTGCCATTTAAATGAACTGTTTTCTATTTGAATATATATTCAAATATAATTTATTCCTGTGATGCAACGCTGAATTTTCAGCATCATTACTCCAGTCTTCAGTGTCACATGATCCTTCATAAATCATTATAATCACATTACTGTTTTTACTGTATGTTTAATACAGTATATGATAAAATAATGCAGCCTTGATGACCTTAAGCGATTTCAAAAACATAACTTGGATGTGTATATATATATATATATATATATATATATATATATAGACACAGACAGATGTATCATGGTTTCAACACAAAAATACTAAGCAGCAAAAACTACTTTCAACAATGATAATATTAACCATAATTAATAACTGAGCACCAATAATAATTGAGCAGCAAATCAGCATATCAAATCAGCATGTGGCACTAAAAACTGGAGTAATGATGCTGAAAATTCAGCTTTGCATCACAGCAATACTTTTTTTTGTAATACATTATAAAAAAACTATTTTAAATTGTAATAATATTTCACAATATTATATTTACTGTATTTAGTCAAAAAAATAGTCAAATAAAAACTATACTAATTAAAAATAGTCAACTAAAATTTTTTATTGTAAAATAAAAACTACACTGCAGTTCAAAAGTTTGGGATCAGTAAGAATTTTTTGTTTTTTTAAAGAAGTTTCCTATGCTCATCATGGCTGCATTTATTTGATCAAAAATACAGAAAAAAAACAGTAAAATTGTGAAATATTATTGCAATTTAAAATAGCTGTTTTCTATTTGAATATACTTTAAAATATAATTTAATTATGTGATGCAAAGCTGAATTTTCAGCATCATTACTCCAGTCTCCAGTGTCACATGATCCTTCAGAAATCATTCTAATATGCTGATTTATTATCAATGTTAGAAACCGTTTTTGTTGCTTCATATTTTTTTGGAACCTGTGAACCAGTGTTTCAAACACTGACAATAAATCAGCAGATTAGAATGATTTCTGAAGGATCATGTGACACTGAAGACTGGAGTAATGATGCTGAAAATTCAGCTTCAAAATGCAGCCTTGATGAGCATAAGAAACGTCTTTAAAAAGTAATAAAAATCTTACTAAACCCACACTTTTGAACGGCAGCTTTAAGCTGTTAGACCTCATGCTGCCGTACCACATCACAAGTTTGAAAGCCAAAGGAGTTAGCTAGTTAGTTTTTAACAAGCATGAATCACCCAGTGCTGTTAAAACTGTTAGTCCTGCTACAACTGATGTTCAACATCTGTTTCCTCAGACACACACAGTTATTGCCGTTATGCTGACAATTTTAGGGAATCCCCTGGGAAACACAGATGAGACAACATATTGTTTGTCATATGCAAATGCCATTAATGTTCTCCCCAGATTGTACTTCCTCAAACAACGTACAAGATTTAAATACACATTTGTATAGAACCAAGAATTCCCCATCAGCCATCACATGATACGGCTATCAGAGACTAATGCTGCCACCAGGTAAAACATAGACCATTCTGAAGTGTCTCCTCTCTGCTGATTGGACACAAAAGAGGTTTCACCCAAGCATTATATTGCACCATAAACTAGTATTTGAGTTCTCCCTTATGAACAACTCACAAACATGCTGAGCAAGAGCTGCAACCTGAGGGAAAACTGTTTAAACGTATCCCCATCTACATGAGCGTTTCTATCCAAATGATTTATACCAACTAAATATTAAGATCAGACAATATTCATCTGTATTTGAAATGACAGAACCCAGTTGTACACATAAAGAGTGTTGCGGGGAGGATCGGGAACATCTACACCAGTGGTTCTCAACCAGAGGGCCTTCAGATGCCGTCAAATGACGTAAAAGAAGACAAAAGCATTTTTTCTTTGAAAGACCAAGATTCTCACAAGTCTTGGAAAATCTGGATATATATGAGGTAGCCTGATTTTAAAAGTGGGATATACAGACCTGGAAAAGTCACAAACTAATCAACTCTCAATCAAGGGGAGATGGGGGGCTTCAAATATTGTTGTGGACAATGGGGGACCTAGGACTTAATAAAAAAAATTTAAAAAAAGTTAACCACAGACAAACACATTTGTATATGACCTTTTTATGCAAACTTTGTTCATATCAGAAGCATCAGGATCTGAAAATGAACTTTGAAGAATAAATTTTTCAGAATTGATCAAATGTACTATTGTTCATCCCATTGCATTGTTAGTTTATGACACCTAATACATTAACTAATGGTACCAAATTTAACTAATTTTACTGTGAAGTGTCAATCTTTTCTGATATTTTTTCTCCCAAATAACTTCCAATTTGATTAAAAAGGCATGACTGAAAAAGTGATTGCACATTCATATATTTTCTTATGTACACTACTATTACAAAATTTGCATCTGAGATTTATAAAAAAAAAAAAAAAAAGTATTTTTATTCAGCAAGGATGCATTCAATTGATCTATGTGACAGTAAAGACATTTATAAGGTTTAAGATTTCCGTTTCAACTAAATGCTGTTCTATTCAAGTTCTGAAAACAATGTATCAGTCTCAACCAAAATATTAAGTTTAACTGTTCTCAATAGATTGAAAAGAACATCAGCATATTAGAATGATTTCTGAAGGATTACATAACACTGAAGACTGGAGTAATGATGCTGAAAATTCAGCTTTATAATCACAGAAATACATTTTAAAATATGGAAAGTTATTTTCAATAGTAATAATATTCCACAATGTTACGGTTTTTACTGTATTTTTGATCAAATAAATGCAGCCTTGCTGAGCAAAACAGAGGTCTTCAAAAAACATTTAAAAGTCTCACAGACCCCACACGTTTGAATGGTATTGTATATTATCTTGTAATGCACATCCTTTTGTAAAATTACAAACAAAAGGAACTGATTTGACACCCCAGCTCATAATAAAGTTTCAAAAGTCAACATATTTGTTTTTTATTGAGGCTTGTGTATTTATCCATCATCTATACATCACTGTGGGATCCACTCATTTAAAAAAAAAAAAAGTGCAAGACTTAAGTCAGGTTGCAAACCTCCGCTGGGCGAAACTCCCACAAATGCATCTCATTCTGCAATCCGCAATGATTTGTACAATTGTGTTTAACAGCTGGAAAGCGATTCAGCTTCCCTCAGAAATACTGTAAAAACTCAAAGCATCCCACTGGAAGCAATTCCTCAACATCACTTGATCATCCCGCAGGGAGCATCTACTCATCTGCACATTTGTCTCCTTTTCTTTTTTGTTTGTTTCAAGTTCCTTTTATGGTAAAATCATGTAAAAAAAAGTTGATAATCCAAAAAAGGCCCAATCCTGATAATCCATTTGATGTGTAATGTCAGGAATCATCTCTGAGGTTTTGGGATGTGAGGAACTGCAGCAGTTTCTCAAACTCAGTGAAAAACACATGCTCATCAGATGTGAAGAACAGTATATAGCAGATGGTAGTGACGGTGGGGACCTTTCTTCTCCCCAAGTGTCCATATAAAAGAAATAGAGTAAGCAAAGGAAAACTCTAAGTTGGACTAATGGTCATAGGTTCATTCGTAGATGCTCTGGCCTTTTGGAGATCACAGGGTAGGCCTGCTGCTTAAACTGGCCCACGCTGGAGCCAGCGGGTTGCCTGATGGGAAGAGGGGCGGTGGCCTCGGAACTAGCCTGGACCTCCATCTGATCCATGGTGGACACTTCTGTGGGGGACTGAAGGGTGGAGGATCTGGGTAAAGTGGGACCTCGTGGCCAACAATCTCCTGAGAACTTAACCGGGCTGAAATACAGGAGGCAAAAGTGAGGAAATTGGTTTTTAATTAGATTTTTAAAAATCTGTGACATTTACAAGTCAAAAGCTGTGATTACCTGACAGGCGTTCGAGGGCTTCCCAAAAACCGGCGAGGTGAACGAATTTTTGGCTCAAATGAGAACTTCTCCTTTAGATTTTCCAACACGGATGGAGCTACATAGGTAAAACCCTGCAAGAATTTAAAAAGAACATAAGGAAAGCCCCAACATTTTTCAAAATAGATAAGCAGGACAGTGAAATTATGACTTGGCTGACTTACCAAAAAGACCTGATTTGCACTTTCGCTTAGCGTGGAGTCATCAGGACTGTCAACAGGAGTCTGGCTGGTGAATTTTGAATCAAACTGGCTCACATCGTCAGCAGATTGCTGTTGAAACAAAACATCAGGTCATGTAATTCATACATACTCAGTTAACCTGTAAGATGGCGGCACACACCCCAAATGTGACTATAGTTACCAAGAAAGGCTTGAATGGTGGTTCTACTTTACGCGCGAGAAGGTCCTCCCAATTAACGTGTCGGAAGAAGGGATGAGTCTAGAAGACAAATTCAAGCAAATTAAATCACAAACTAAAGCCCAACACTTCCAGGGGTTAAAGCAAAAAAAAAAATCCTGAGCCTGAACTTTTTTCCGGGGGCGGGGGTAGCACATGCAAAGCATGCAATTACTGTGACAACTTTAACATTTGAAAGGATACTATGGCAAAGTTATCGCTTTCTTTATTCAAACTGATTTTTTTTTCTGAATATATAGTTGATCTGAAGAATGAAAGCTGTATCATACACTTGGAAAATTATGAGCTATATCACCGCTTATCAACACTAAGGGTGTGACAATACACTTAGCTCACGAGATGAGACAAAATACAGATACTTGGTTCACTAGAACATCCCATTGCATTGTTAGTTTATGACACCTAATACATTAACTAATGGTACCAAATTTAACTAATTTTACTGTGAAGTGTCAATCTTTTCTGATATTTTTTCTCCCAAATAACTTCCAATTTGATTAAAAAGGCATGACTGAAAAAGTGATTGCACATTCATATATTTTCTTATGTACACTACTATTACAAAATTTGCATCTGAGATTTATAAAAAAAAAAAAAAAAAGTATTTTTATTCAGCAAGGATGCATTCAATTGATCTATGTGACAGTAAAGACATTTATAAGGTTTAAGATTTCCGTTTCAACTAAATGCTGTTCTATTCAAGTTCTGAAAACAATGTATCAGTCTCAACCAAAATATTAAGTTTAACTGTTCTCAATAGATTGAAAAGAACATCAGCATATTAGAATGATTTCTGAAGGATTACATAACACTGAAGACTGGAGTAATGATGCTGAAAATTCAGCTTTATAATCACAGAAATACATTTTAAAATATGGAAAGTTATTTTCAATAGTAATAATATTCCACAATGTTACGGTTTTTACTGTATTTTTGATCAAATAAATGCAGCCTTGCTGAGCAAAACAGAGGTCTTCAAAAAACATTTAAAAGTCTCACAGACCCCACACGTTTGAATGGTATTGTATATTATCTTGTAATGCACATCCTTTTGTAAAATTACAAACAAAAGGAACTGATTTGACACCCCAGCTCATAATAAAGTTTCAAAAGTCAACATATTTGTTTTTTATTGAGGCTTGTGTATTTATCCATCATCTATACATCACTGTGGGATCCACTCATTTAAAAAAAAAAAAAGTGCAAGACTTAAGTCAGGTTGCAAACCTCCGCTGGGCGAAACTCCCACAAATGCATCTCATTCTGCAATCCGCAATGATTTGTACAATTGTGTTTAACAGCTGGAAAGCGATTCAGCTTCCCTCAGAAATACTGTAAAAACTCAAAGCATCCCACTGGAAGCAATTCCTCAACATCACTTGATCATCCCGCAGGGAGCATCTACTCATCTGCACATTTGTCTCCTTTTCTTTTTTGTTTGTTTCAAGTTCCTTTTATGGTAAAATCATGTAAAAAAAAGTTGATAATCCAAAAAAGGCCCAATCCTGATAATCCATTTGATGTGTAATGTCAGGAATCATCTCTGAGGTTTTGGGATGTGAGGAACTGCAGCAGTTTCTCAAACTCAGTGAAAAACACATGCTCATCAGATGTGAAGAACAGTATATAGCAGATGGTAGTGACGGTGGGGACCTTTCTTCTCCCCAAGTGTCCATATAAAAGAAATAGAGTAAGCAAAGGAAAACTCTAAGTTGGACTAATGGTCATAGGTTCATTCGTAGATGCTCTGGCCTTTTGGAGATCACAGGGTAGGCCTGCTGCTTAAACTGGCCCACGCTGGAGCCAGCGGGTTGCCTGATGGGAAGAGGGGCGGTGGCCTCGGAACTAGCCTGGACCTCCATCTGATCCATGGTGGACACTTCTGTGGGGGACTGAAGGGTGGAGGATCTGGGTAAAGTGGGACCTCGTGGCCAACAATCTCCTGAGAACTTAACCGGGCTGAAATACAGGAGGCAAAAGTGAGGAAATTGGTTTTTAATTAGATTTTTAAAAATCTGTGACATTTACAAGTCAAAAGCTGTGATTACCTGACAGGCGTTCGAGGGCTTCCCAAAAACCGGCGAGGTGAACGAATTTTTGGCTCAAATGAGAACTTCTCCTTTAGATTTTCCAACACGGATGGAGCTACATAGGTAAAACCCTGCAAGAATTTAAAAAGAACATAAGGAAAGCCCCAACATTTTTCAAAATAGATAAGCAGGACAGTGAAATTATGACTTGGCTGACTTACCAAAAAGACCTGATTTGCACTTTCGCTTAGCGTGGAGTCATCAGGACTGTCAACAGGAGTCTGGCTGGTGAATTTTGAATCAAACTGGCTCACATCGTCAGCAGATTGCTGTTGAAACAAAACATCAGGTCATGTAATTCATACATACTCAGTTAACCTGTAAGATGGCGGCACACACCCCAAATGTGACTATAGTTACCAAGAAAGGCTTGAATGGTGGTTCTACTTTACGCGCGAGAAGGTCCTCCCAATTAACGTGTCGGAAGAAGGGATGAGTCTAGAAGACAAATTCAAGCAAATTAAATCACAAACTAAAGCCCAACACTTCCAGGGGTTAAAGCAAAAAAAAAAATCCTGAGCCTGAACTTTTTTCCGGGGGCGGGGGTAG